TTCAGGAATTTTGGGGGGTGTTATGGTCCTAATCTGGGAAACTAGTAGGTTCTTGCCGCCTCATGACGGCAGAACCCTAAAAGCAGAAAGAGCAGCAATTCGGCACCCCAGATGTTCGACGTTCAGATTTTCAGGTTCTTTGCGTGCGTGGGTTTCGTGTTGAGTTGTTCGGGTTCTCCTGCAGTCTGGGGTTGAGAGTAGCTAAAGGATGCTAAAGGTGCGTTCGGGTCTGCAATATAGACTTTCCTGCATTGGGCTTTAGGGTTGGCAGGACTGAGTTTTTTAGGCAGTTCTGGATGTGAACCATCCTGGCCCACCCTAAACCACAATCCCGCAAGCCCTGCCAGAAAGATCCTATAAACCCAAAGCCCCTAACAAGGTCACCGACGAGTGACCAGTTCTATGGCTTGAGCCGGAGCCCTGTGTGCCGACGCGAAAGCGAAAGCGAAGAGCGTCGTACGTGGAAGGACTCGGGGCAAGTAGCTGCGGCTAAGCACTCTGAGCTTTGGGAACTCTCTTCTAGACTGTTCTTGGACATCATCTTCAAGTTTAGTTGATGACTGTACTTGCGCCAGGGACATCAACGGCTAGATTTTTTTCAGACCCACGGTCCCGTGTACAAATGCCCTCAGAGGCCGCCAGGGTTTCGGGTCCGGAGGTAGAAGGGTTCAGCCGCTACATGGGCAGAGGGAGTCGGAGTCTGAGCTGGCATCCATCTGCCAGAAGCACGTGGGCACCTATACTTAGTAGTAGAGTAGGTAACCTTTAACCTTTTTGGGTTAATATAATACCTTTATAACCCCAAAGGTTAACCTTTGAAACCCCTAGGTACTGGACATACTGCCCAAAATATTTGATGCTACTTGCAGCGCCCCTAGGCCACTGGCCACCAGCAAAGACTGCGGCTGAGTGCGTGGTCAGCCTGGAACATGTAGTCAGCGTTGAGGGTTTACGGCTTGATGGAATCTTGCTGCTGGAGCAGGGTGGAGCGACCTCATTTTGTTCCAAGAGTCGTTGCAGGTCCCCGGTGCTTTTGTTGGACGGATGTCCATTCATCATCCGAAGCCTGGAACCGAAACCCTGAACGCCCAAAGTCCTGAACCGCGAGACCCCCGTTGAGCCCCCTCAACCCCTCAACCCCAAAACCGCCAACCCCCTGAACCCCTTAAATCCCTTAAGCCCCCTAAGCCCCCTAAGCCCCCTAAACCCCCTAAACCCCCTAAACCCCCTAAACCCCCTAAACCCCCTAAACCCCCTAAACCCCCTAAACCCCTAAACGCCTTCTTTTCGCATGGGACGTCCGATGACATCTTGCATAAAGCCCCAAGCCCCTTAACCCCTAATCCCCCAAACCCTAAACCCTGAAACCCCCTGAGCCCTAAACTCTTCTGGATCAACTCCCAGGAAGAGGCCTGCTGCCGCTCAGGCGACATCGGGGTTCACTCGGCCCCTACACCCTATAACATAGGGGCCTGATAATTGTATAGTGATTTTTCCGAACCCTATCGACCCTCAGACCCCAAGCGCCAAACCCTAAACTCCAAACCCCTTTCTCAAGGAACCCATGCCTCTACGATTGCTCGAGAAGATACCCCCCCAAGAAAAGAGAGAATACATAAATACAAGTATAAATCTATAGTATATATATAGACACACATATATGCATACATATATATATATATGTATCTCTCTCTCTCTCTATATATATATATATATATAATTCTTCCAGATAAGGACAGTATGGGATTATCATCCTTGCTGTTTTTTGGAGGAGTTCTGAAGTAAACAGTAGCCGTTGGGGAATGCAGCTGAAACTTAAGACCACGTCGGTGTCCGGTTTGGGCTCGATCCTCAGAGTTTCCAAGGAACGCGCTTTACTTCACCATGTGGGGGGTTCCGGAATTAGGGTTTAGGGTTTAGAGCTTAGGGTTTAGGGTTACCTTATTGGGGTCCTTATTCTAAGGGCATCCGGGCGATTTTGGGGTCCCCCTATTTTCTTAAACCCTCCACGTGGACGAAGTATCTTGCTGAAGGGAACGTCTGCCCCATTTCATCAAAAACGGACCTTACCTCTTATCTAGGCTATGAGGCAGGCCATGACGCAAAGATTTTCTTAGTCTCTGGGTTCTGCAAGGCCTTGCGATCCTGAAACCCCACGCCCAAAATTCTAAACTCAAAACACCCACCCTAAACCCAAGACCCCAGAACCCCAAAACCCCAAAACCCCAAAACCCTAAAAACCCTAAAAACCCTAAAGCTCTGTCTCGTCCAGGGGACGACTGCTCACTCTTTCAGTTCCAGAGTGATCAAGGTTGGAGCCCGGCCTTGGAGAATCCTATGCAGGTCAGTTTAGGATTTAGGGTTTAGGGGTTTAGGGTTGGTTCAGAGTTCAGGTTTCAGGGTGAAGGGGCTTAGGGGATCCCCCTCTCGAATTTTAGAATCAGTGGATCACTCCAAGAAGTATGTCGTACAGAGATAAGTGAGCCCATCACCATGTGGCCACAACTCGGAGGCATTGCCCCGGACACTGTGTACAGAACCCTGGTCGCGACGTATTTTACGCATATGCACACACGCACAGACAAAAGCAGTAGCAAGCGGGCAGGACAGTAGCAAAGGAGAACCCTCAACCCTGAACCCCATACCCTATATGACCTATGCCCTGCGCCCCCATACCCCCACACCCCGTACACCATCTTCCCCTGCACACCCCAAAGCCCAAAACCCAAAACCCAAAACCCAAAACCCTAAACCCTAAACCCTAAACCCTAAACCCCGCCGTAGTTGGCCCTCTCTCCGAACCTTTCTTAAGCCAGGCTGCTGGCTGGGGCGGTGGGAGGAGGCCGAGGCTCGCCAGCTTCCCGAAAGCTTCAGCGGCTTAGGGGTCTACTTGTGTGTGTAGGGTTTAGGGTTTAGGGTTTGGGGTTTGGGGTTTAGGGTTTAGAGTTTGGGGTTTGGGGGTTTAGGGTTTAGGGTTTAGGGTTCAGGGTTCACGGTTTAGGGTTTAGGGTTTAGGGTTTGCTGTGATAGGGCGTAGGTGCTGTGAAGTTTAGGTTTCGGAACAAGCTCGAAAGCCGTCCGAGGCGGTAAAGCCACCCAAACCTATTCCTTTTAGAGTTTAGGCCAAAACTCAAGGCGACAGTCCACTTCTGAAAAGGCCATTGAGTTTTCTCAGGCCTGAGGCCCCCTGCTCCCTGAGCACCCTGCGGCAAGGGGTCCGGGTCCTCCTGGCCTGGCGGCCATGGGGGTACCCGAAGGTTTAGGGTATTTACTGTTTTTCCAGGGTCCCGAAAAGAACCTGCTCCGGTACCCGGCCCATCGTGGGTGCTACCGACCCCCGAGCTGTGGGAGGCGGGCGAGCGACCTGGGTCGCTTTGCGCCATCGATGTCCAAGGGCTTAAGCGCTGCCCCCCCAACGTAGGGGGGCAGCCTAGGCCCTGAGTTTAGGGTTTAGGAGTCTACGTGTGTGGGGTGATTTCCAAGGGATATTTTCCTAGTTTCCCTTATTGAGTTTACGAGGATGATATTTACGAATATTTTGCAGAGTGTCTTAATGGCCATCCTAGGTGACACATGGTCCCTTAATATGGTCCGTTTCCTCCTCTAAAGGGTTCTGAAGTACGGGGCCTTGGGTTGCATAGGGTATATAAGGGGTGTATAAGGGGTCCCCTTTCAAGGGCCCATACTAAGGGACCATGTAACTACCCTGAGATAATCGGATTTGTGTTTCTGGTTGCCTCAGCCCTGTTCTGTGTCCAGCCTGGGTGGTGCTGTCCGCAGGCTATCCCTTCCGACCTCACTTTCACGGGTGGCGTCCTTCCGCCGTGGCTTGAGGGGTGATGCAAGTGCCCAGACATGCAGGGTCTTTTGGGTGTGGGGTTTTAGGGTTTAGGGAGCCTCCCAAACCCCGAAGCCCCAACAGCAATGGCCGCCCGGAGCCCTTTGAAGGATTGTGGAGCCCTCAAAAGCCCTGAAGAGGCCCTTACGCACCCCAGAGCCCCTAGGAAGCCTAGGAAGCAAAAAAAAAAGTTAGCACCCTTAAAGCCCAAGTTTGGGGGGGCCAGGTCAAGGTCGCCTGAGCCCAGCCGGCGCGCTCCGGCAGGGCTGACGCGCAGGAGGATGCCATCTGCCTACACCGACGGTGGGCCCGAACCTCGAAACCGGGTTAGGGCGGTTAGGGCGGTTAGGGCGGTTAGGGCGGTTAGGGCGGTTAGGGTTTCGGGTTTCAGGTTTCGGGTTTCGGGTTTAGGGTTTAGGGTTTAGGGTTTAGGGTTTAGGGCGGTTAGGGTTTCGGGTTGAGAGGCCCTGGGAGGCCGGGAGCTGCCGTGAGAGCATGGAAGCGTGCGGAAGAGCAGAAGAAAGGATGGTGGCCTCTGCCGCGAGTGGTGTTGAGTGCAAGTGGGGCCTAAACCCTAAAACCCTAAAACCCTAAAACCCTAAAACCCTAAAACCCTAAAACCCTAAAACCTAAACCCTAAACCCTAAACCCTAAACCCTAAACCCTAAACCCTAAACCCTAAACCCTAAACCCTAAACCCAAGGATGCCACTATAGCTCTCATAGACTCGTAAGCATGTCAGCAATCCGTCTGCAAGTGGGCTCCTGCTTTGCAGGGCTCCTGGCTGGGGGAGATGGAGCGAATTGAACTCAGTCTCCTAAACAATAGCCGATAACCCTCAAGCCACCGCTTGACCCAAAAGCCCTGTTCCCTCAACCAGCTCAGGACCTCATTCCGAAATCCTTCGAACGAACCTTTGGGGATTGGGGCCTGGAAGTCTTCGCATGGACTCACGGCACTTCGCTGCAGCCACCAGGGACAGTTTTAGGGCCCCTTTTGTCAGCAACCTTTAAGCATCATAGAGCCCCTTGGCACCAAAAGGGACCCGAGTGTAGCAGAACCCCCACCCTACAAGTCAAGTCCCAGCCACCCCGACCCCGGCGTTGCGAAGCCATGGCTTCTTGCAAGAGAGCCCGAGCTGCCACGGGGTACGCCGGGTGGGATGGGCGGCGGGAACAGGGTGTACGTCAGCCGCAAGCATGTCATCCCCGAACTCCCGCCAGGCTGGCTCTGCTGCTGGTGTCTCTCAGCTTGGGCAGCTTACCTGATTGTGCACGAGACAAGCAACATAAGCAACCTCCTTGTGTTCGGATTGGGCTTTCTCTTCGTGTTCGCCGTCTTAGGCCGATGGGCCGCGTTTCTTGCCGCGTGGCAGCCAGCGGACAGCCGCCCGCCCATAATGCATGCTCTCGGAAGACTAGGTCTGGGGTTCTAGCATACAGATGCTGCAAATAAGCACAGTGACAAAAGTTCGTCATGAAAAAACCACAAGGAAAGTATGTGCTTTTTGTACATTCGACCCAGACATGATACGCAGGCTTCCAAGCAGTAAATTCAATCGCGTTGACCAGCATGCGCGTGGGTTTTTCCCAGCTCTTGACAGAATGTCGTGGGGTGGTGCGGGTTGTTGGCAGAGGTAGGGTGTCGAGTTCAAGGGCTTCCGCGCAAGCTGGAACCCCTCACCCCCACGCCCTGAAAACCCCCAAGTCTCCAAGCCTTAAACCCTCAGGCCCAAGCCATAGTGGACCTCAACCCCCCCTCCACCCCCCCACACCCTCCCCGCCGGGTCTGACCCCAAAGGGGCCGCGCCACGAACTCAACGCCCAGCGACTGCGGAGAGCGCGCCGGACGCTGCTTCAGGCCGAGGGTTCGGTTCTTGTTTTTTCTGGGGGGGGGGGGGGGAATTCAACTCTGGGGCCTCATCGTTTCTGTTTGCCCAGGGGGGTTTCAGGGTGTTTTGGGGGGGGTGCTTAGGGCCCAACCCTACATCCTTGAGGGTCTGAGCCCCCCTCCCCACACCCCAACAGTATCCCTAAGATTGATGACTGTCAGGGGCCAGCCCGGTCCTGACCTATTTCGGAGTGAACTCGTTCAGCCTCGTGTCTTGGCCTTCTCAGGACTTTCAGGGTTCAGGGTTTAGGGTTTAGGGTTTAGGGTTGCGGTGCTCTCTGCGGGGAGTTGCCTCAGGCTGAAACCCCAAACCCTCCAGGCAGTCAGGTAGCCATCCTGGTGCCGGTATGATGAGTGCCGGTATGATGAGTCCCACCCGACCCAGACCCTGAGAATTCAAGACCTTAGGAAATTGGTGGGCAGCGCTTGCTGGTTGACCCGCTGCTCGTGGGGAGCCTGGCCGCTTGGTTCCGAAGTGTGAAATTTAGGTGTAGGGCTCAGGTGTTGAAGTTTGAAGCTTCGGTTTAGCACTCACACTCACTCACTCACTCACTCACTCACTCTCTCCCTCTCTCTCCCCGTTCTCGTTCTTTCTTTATTTTGTTTGTTTAAATGTTTGAGCAGAAGCCTAAAGTCCCCAAGGACCCTCCAAAAGCCAAACTTGAATTTTCAGGTCTTCTTCGGCCAGCGTTGGGCCTTCCGCGGCAGCCCTCGCATGGACGCCGTTCCAAAACCTGAGGCGCGCAAGGTTTGGGTTTAGGGAGTTTGGGTGTTCCCCCTTTATACGAAACAGTCCTGAATTAACAGGGATTCTAGTACCTTCGATTATTCCCCCTTTATACTAAACAGTCCTGAATTAATAGGGATTCGAGTACCCTCTATTAGTATCCCTATACAGGGGGAACATGTAGACCCAAGCAACAAGGCTTCCCTTTCGCGACCCGGGGAGTGGCATTCTAGGACCCAGAGTAGGCCCTTATTCCCTTTAGAGTATAGGTTCCATTAAAAGCCCTTTTAAAGCAAAATGGGCAACCTTTTAAGTCCAACCCTTTGGAGTTTAGGTTCCGTTAGAAGCCCTTTTAAAGCAAAATGGGCAACCTTTTAAGTCCAAGGTTCCTCTTGGGTCTAGTATTGGGCTTCAGGATTGGGGGACATCTGGTGCCAGGACGTTGCGGACAACTTTGATGCCATAGTGCGGGGGCCCCAAGCCAGTGCAGTTTGGCAAAGACCTGAAGAAAATCGAACCCACCCTAATACTGAGACCCTAACTGCCCAAAAGGCCCTAAAGGCCCAAAAGGCCCCAAAGGCCCCAAAGGCCCAAAGGGGCCAAAAGGCCCAAAAGGCCCTAAGCCCCAAGCCCCAAGCCCGAAGCCCTAAGCCCTAAGCCCTAAGCCCTAAGCCCTAAGCCCTAAGCCCTAAGCCCTAAGCCCTAAGCCCTAAGTCCGAAACTCTAGGATATCCCTGCCGAGCCCTCAATATGCCCCCAAAGTCTGAGACCCAGGCATGCCCAAACCCCACGCGCCGCGAGCTCGTCACCCAAAAGCCTCTGAAGCTCTCGGTTTAAGGTTTAGGGTTTTGGGTTTAGGGTTTAGGGTTTAGGGTTTAAGGCACCCTCCACCCGCGATCCTCTCAAACCTTGAAGCCCTCGATCACTCAATCCCCCAGCCCCAAACCCTAAACCCTCTACCCTAAACCCGAGAGCTTAAACCCTAAATCCCGAATTCCCTAAATTAAACCCCTAAACCCCCACACGGGGGTTTAGGGGGGGGGTGCTGATTCTTGGGCCCAAGGCTGACGCAGGGCCTGGACGACCACACGCACCAGCCTACCCTGGAACGCATCGACCGCAGGCCTAGGAGGTTTGGGGGTTGGTTGGGAGTTGTATTGTAGGGTTTAGGGGGAGTTTGAAGCCTAAACCCGAAACCCTCAAACCCTAAGCCCTAAACCCTACACCCAAAACCCGAGACCCTAAACCTTGAACCCTGGAAGGTTTAGTGGGTTTGAGGAGTTCGCAGGGTATGGGCCTGACGGGTGGAAGGTGTCTGGGGGCAAGAGAGAATGTAGGGTTGCGTTGGGCTCAAGCCATTGGAGAAATATCGTTTAATCCTAAAGCGGCCTGAACCCCCTAAATCCTAAACCCTAAACCCTAAACCCTAAACCCTAAACCCTAAACCCTAAACCCTAAACCCTAAACCCTAAACCGGGAAACTTTTAAAAAATCCTAAACGCCAGAATCCCCACAGACGCGACTCTCCGCCGATTATCATCCCTGCGCCCGTGAACCCTAAGCCCGGCCTGGCCCCTAGACCCTAAACCCAAACCCTAAACCCTGGCCCCTAAACCCTAAACCCTAAACCCTAAACCCTAAACCCTAAACCCTAAACCCTAAACCCTAAACCCTAAACCCTAAACCCTAAACCCTAAACCCATAAACCCTAAACCCTAAACCCTAAACCCTAAACCCTAAACCCTAAACCCTAAACCCTAAACCCTAAACCCTAAACCCTAAACCCTAAACCCTAAACCCTAAACCCTAAACCCTAAACCCTAAACCCTAAACCCTAAACCCTAAACCCTAACCTCCCAGCCCTAAGCCCTAAGCCCTAAGCCCTAAGCCCTAAGCCCTAAGCCCTAAGCCCTAAGCCCTAAAGCCCTAAGCCCTAAGCCCTAAGCCCTAAGCCCTAAGCCCTAAGCCCTAAGCCCTGAGCCCTAAGCCCGAAGCCCTAAGCCCTAAACCTATGGGGTGTCTGGCAGTGTGTCAGGGTGCCAATCATTGCCAATCCCAGCGCTGCCTCGACGGTGAAGTCCATGGGGTTCCAAGGCCAGGTGGAATGGGTTTAGGGTTTAGGGTTTAAGGTTTAGGGTTTTGAGTTTTTTAGGATTTGGGTGAAGGGTTTAGGGTTTTAAAGGTTTCGGGTTTTAGAGCTTTGGGTTCAGAATGTTAGACTGGTGGTGAGGGGAAGAATATGAAAGCCAGCCTAAGCTACCTTGGGTTCCAGGGTCCAGGCAGAAGTCAAGAACCTAGGATGCTGGGGGTCAGAAAGTTAGCAGAGAAAGCTTGCGAGTTCTGCGCTGCTTCCTTTTTGGTGTCTTGCCCCTCCCCTTGTGAACGTAGCTTAGTTTCGTCAACAATGCAAGAGCATGCCGCGGGTTGACTTCGTCTCCTGAGCTAGTGTCTTGTGGATCGTTTTGAACCTCTTCCGGGAGATCGTTTGGATGCGATCACGTTTCTGGCCCTGCAGATGTGTCCGTGCTGCGCCCGGACGAGCTCCTTCTCGGCAACCAGCTCTGCCATTGCTCTCTACCTTGTGGCTTCAGGGCTCCGGCCGAAGATTCTAAGATGCCTGTAGGTGTTGAAGGTTTCAGCTTTGCGGCCTTTGGGGTTCTGCAGCATCTGCATACAAGAACCACCGAGCGGCCCCTACTGCGAGTCCCAGCTTGGAAGAGTTGTCCCATTGTACTGCTGTGATAAGTCCAGTGTCTTGGGTTTCAGTATGATTTGTCATGTCCAGCCAACCTCTGATCCCCTCTGCACTTGTCCTTATTCGAGGCATACTGTAGACTTCTCATGGTTTGCGTGGGTTTTTGCCGGGAGGTCCCTGTCCTTGGGGTCGCTTCGACTTACAGCGGTGCCCGGCAGCGTGGTTGGCCCGCCCTGGCAGGCTGGAGGGGAGGATGTGGCAGGCTTTTGGAGCTTACAAGTTCCGAAAAATTGTTGCACTTAGGGGGGTTTGAGGGGTTTGGGAGTTTGGGTTAGACAAGCTGTGCGAAATGCTCGGGCTGCGCTAAGGGTTGGGACGAGGCTGCGAGGCTGCAGGTTTTTGGACAGTCTGCTGGGGAGTTTAGGTTTGGGGTTTGGGGTTTAGGGTTTAGGGTTTAGGGTTTAGGTTTAGGGTGCAGGGTTTGGGGTTTGGGGTTTGGGGTTTGGGGTTTGGGGTTTGGGGTTTGGGGTTTGGGGGGCAACTCGCAGGGCAAGCACGTGGCTTGGAGCTTGCGGGAGGGGCTCAGCGTGTCCAAAACCCTGCCAGGATCCGGAGAACGGATACGTGCGGCGCTCGGCTGCTGTTTATCTGCATACTGTATCTAAAATATGGGGGTTTAAGAAAATAGGGGACCCCCGATAGTAGGATCCCCAAATGGTAGCATCCCCTTATGACAAGGACCCCAATAAGGTGCCCCTAGTTTCGGAGAACCCCCACATGGTTCCGTGTTAAAACAGGAAGCCACAGCAGGGGACAAGAAGGTAGGGAGCCGCCCATGTCCAGGGCTTCATTCCGATGGCCCCACCACAGGTGTTTGCAGACACACGACCGGGTGGCCTCTCTATAGGCCTCCGCACTACGGCCTGTCCAACATGTCTGTTTTTTTTTCATATGCAAGTTTACGGTATTTGGGGGGTGCCTTATTGGGGTCCGTATTGCAAGGGGATCCTATAATTTGGGGACTATATTAGGGGTCCCTTATTTTCGTAAACCCCCTATGTGTGTGTGTGGGATCAACTAGAGAGCTCTGTTAGGGTTTGAGCTTTGGGGGGACTACTTTAGCTTGGCCAGGTACAGGGCCTTAGTTCTTGGAGCTCCAGGGGAACCACTGCGCACAGTAATTAGCAGCAATCGATTGTTGTTGGCCTAAGCCCCTAAGCCCCTAAACCCGCTAAAGTCTACCCCTAAGCCCCTAGACCCTAAACCCAAACCCCAAACCCCAAACCCTAACCCCTAAACACCAAACCCTAAACCCTAAGCCCTAAGCCCTAAGCCCTAAACCAGCCTTTAAGCAACCGCAAGTTGGGTCACTCACGTGAGTATCCCCTGGGGGAGGCCTGGAGCCCCATGGCAATTTCCTCGGCCCGGCGCTGGGCACGCGCGAACCTCGGAGCCAGGTTGAGGGTTGAGGGTTTAGGGTTTAGGGTTTAGGGCTTAGGGCTTAGGGCTTAGGGATTAGGGCTTAGGGTTTAGTGTCAAACTTCGGGGTTTGAATGGTTTTGGCAGGCTCGGCTCCCCCTGCGGAGAGGAAGTCCAAAAAGGTACCCTGCGGAACTCACCCCTCGGACACCAGTCCGCCAAAGCTCTCCAAAGCGCGAATCCGACAATCCGCTCAGACCATTCCTGAATTCTGAGGAGACTTTAAGCAGCTAGAGAACGATACGCCTTGCTGTGCATTGCTCCAGTGGGGTAATATAGGGGCATGAATAATTAGAATAGGGTGTTGGGGGTTGTTATAGTATGAATTCAAAGGGACCATCAGGGAATGTTACTAGTAACTGTTCCGACCCCTATATTAAGTGAAGCCAAGGTCCTTCCAGCGGCTCCCAACACCACCCACGCAGAGCGTGGACGCTCTGATTCTGCCGCTGACGTCTCAAGACCTCTCCGGTTACAGGCGGGAGGTGCTGATATTTGAGACTTGTTGCATGGAACGTTCCCTAAGTCCAGGTGGCCATAAGTCCGAAATTCAGAAGACTCCCCTCATCGAAGTTTCTGCGTATGTATATATACATGTATATGGCTGCATGCGGTTTTTACTTTTGCCATAAAATTCCTGGTAAATACTGGTGCAAACGACATTCTCACAGCCGTTCTGTGTGTCTGATCTAATCTGTGGAAAGATTTTTTTGTAAAAAAAAATATATATGGATATATAACTCGACTGTTCGCTAAGAAGTATGGAAGTAGTAGTTGATTGGTATGTGGCTAAATCGTTTTGAAAATTAACTATGATGTAGGTCATATCTTAGTTGTATTCAAGTCGTCTTTTAATCAACTGCCAGTCAATATAATTATCGGACGTTTTTAAACTCGTATTCTGTTGGTCGTATGTCATGAGTGTTTAATTTGTATGTTCTGAATTTTTTCACGAACATGTCAAAGTGTTCTCAACTGGCATTCGGGAGGCTAGTGAACGGTGTGGAGGAGGCGGCCAACACACTGGAAGCACTGCAGCTGGGATGAAGGTCCAAGGGTCTCTTGCCAGGGGTGGGCTTGTGCTGAAACGCAGGTTCGCTCATGCCAGGGGCGCGGAAGAATCGGCGATTTTAAATTTCTCGATGGCTTGGCACACGTGTGCATCGAACCACAAAGAAGATGCTAAAAAAACCATCATGTCCACTCCGCATGTGGTCTTTAATTGCGGCGGACACGACGAGTAGATTCAACAGTTCATGGGCCAAAGTGTTAAATCGTAGCCTTCTCCGGAGGGCACGCAAAAGCTACCTTGCACAACCTCTGACCCCGGAAGTTCGTTTACGGCTTCTTGTTTTTGGCTGCAAGAAGACATCAGGGGTTGACTATCTTCAGAAAGCCTCAATTGGGAGACGACTGCTATGAGAGATGGCCGTCACATGTCGCTACCTGGATGACTCAGGAGGGGTTTTTGGTCGGCATGCTGACATGCGACCCTTAACCGGCCCCTAGGCATCCTAACAGCCAACCCCTGAAGACCCGGAAGGCCCGATCTACCCCGTAGGACCACAAAAGCCACGCCCTGCTCCGATCCCATTCTGGGGGCAGCCCAGGACTCCTGTTCCGAGATACATCCTGCCGTTGCGAAATGGCGAGATTGAGACTGAAGGCTGCTTGCGGATCAACCCTGAACCGTCCTGAACCATCCTGAACCCCTGAGTTGCTAAACTTTCAGCCCTGGTGTCACAGCATTAGGGGCCGTAGGGGGGATGCTCCAGTCCTCTTCCGCCGCGGCGCCCCCGAAACGCAGGAATGAAGTGATGAAGCCCTAAAGAAAGCTCCGAAGATGGCCCTTAGACTACAGTAAGGATCTTAAACAGGGGTCCCGGGACCCAAGGGTACAACCTTAAAGGTCCGAGGCACTTCCTTCAAAAACCCTGGAAGCCGGTAAAAAGCGCACTTTAGAGGAACCATTTGAAGTTCGTCAAAAATCCTGAAACCAACCCTGAATGAACCTACGCCTCCAGCGCCCTACCCCCTGGTTCTTAGCAGGGAATGGGGGAATGAGGTACCCTATATAATCCCTCAAAGGGGTAGATTTCGGACCCTCCTTCCCTCCTTCCCCACTAAGAACCAGCCAGAAAAACTTAGAGACCTTGGCCACAGGAGTCCTTGCTGAAGGCATTAACCAGGAAGGGAGCGTCGAGGTAGGGGGGTTGCTTTGGGGTTTTGGGTTTGGTACAGGGGGTCCCTGTAGATACCACAGTGACACAGGGGGAACTAGTAGAGAACAAGCCGCCAGCTGAGGGTGTTTGGTAGATCGCTCCAGGATTCTTCGTATATTATGAAAGGGTTTGGGGTATAGTCTTTAGGGTTGCGTTATAGAAGGGGGCTCCAAGAAGACGGTCTTCGTCCGATGGCCTTTTGAAATCAGAGTCCCGTCAGAAAGTCCTCATGCTTGGGTTCTTTTGGTTCTGCGATCTTGAAGGTGTCTCTGAACCCTGAGCCTCAGCTACTCCCACAGGTGCATGTATGGCCCTGAACTCCAAAAGCTTACCTGCAGAAATCGCTGGAACTTTAAGGCAGATTTCAAGCCCTCATATATATATATATATATACATATATATATATATAGATATATCTATGTGTACATATATGAGGGCTTGAAAGCTGAGTTAAAGTTCCAGCGATTTCTGCAGGCAAGTTGTTGGGTTTCAGGGCCTTAGAGCCCTAGGCCGCGGCTCTGCAGGCACTAAACGTCGCGTAGCCGCACTATACTGCAGCTGATCCTGAAGCCATCAACCCCCAAGTCCATCCGAAAACGCGCAAGGTCCCAAAGCCCGAAACATGACTCCAACTCGTTCTTAAACCTTTGGTCCGAAACCCTCAGAAAATCAATGCTTGCCATCGTAGTAATACTAGCAGGAGTAGTAGTAGTAATAGTGTACTTATCCGAGAAATAGTACTAGAAATAGTAATAGTCGTAGTAATAAGCTAGCCATAAGAGTCGTAATCCTAAATAATCGCAAAAATAGCAAGAAACAACCCTAATTCACAAACCTCCCAAAACAGCCGTCGGTGTCGAAAAGCGAGGACTTCCTCCGGCTGCAAAAACAGCGGCCAAAGCTCCGCTCGGTGGAGCTTTTGGAACTTTGCCTACCCAGCAGAGTGGGCTTTTCTTTTGTTTTTGTGCTGGGGTATCGGGTTTAAGGTCTTGTGTTCTTGTTGGGGGGGGGGGGGGGCTTGGGGTGGGGGGCGTTTCGTTTTTGGGTGCTTCTAAACTCGGGGTCAGCGGTGTTAGGTCTCAGGGCTCCCCTTCTGTATGCTCTCGCTTGAGAGCGACGTGCTTCCCTAAGCTTCTTCAGGGATATGTGGGATGCATCTTCGTTTATCTAAGTCTAGGACAGGGAGTAGGCCCTTTTTTCCTTTGTTCTGGGTTGGGGTTCCCTTATAATCCCCTTAAAACCAAAACGGGTACCCTTTTTGTTCCTAGGTTACTCCCGGGTCTAGTTGTAGTCTCCCAGTATTCGGGCTGAAAGCAGCAGGTTGTCATGTTGCCAGCCGTGCGTCTCACGAGCCGAGGACGTCACTCCAGGACATCCTGTGCGTGTGGGAGCGCAAAGCAGTGGAAAGACACCACACGCTGGCGAACACTAGTGAGTTAGGCGGGAAGTCTTAAAGAGAACCCGCAGCGATGCACAACGACCCGGCCGGGAAGCACAGGAAACTTGTGGGAGCGAGAACGTGATGCTCCAATCCTAAACGCTGAGTTCCACAGTAGTTATCAGAGTAGTGATAGAAGGGAAACGTCATAATAAAGAATTGCAGAAGCAGTCATGAACGTAAGAATAGCAACAATAGCAACATGGGTAATGACAGCAATCTTCGCCCTAATCGCAAAATTAGTCATACTGGCACTACTTGAAAGAGTAGCACAAATAGACATTTTAAGAAAACAGTCGCAGTATTCCTCAACCCTGGTCTTTGGTCAAGCATCCCCTCAGATTTTTCGGCACGCCGTGGCTCTCGGATTCCCCGCGCATCAGGTCTGTTGAGTTTTTCCACCTCTTCACTGTATTACGTTTTGTGATCGCTATGATTACTGTGCTTGTGCTATTGTGTCGCTACTATGATTGCGATGAGTTCTGTACTTGCTATTCCTTCCATTACTATTCTTACTCTTGCGTTTGGCTGTGCGCTTACAGTGGCCAGAGTGACAGCCTCGCTACACCATCTGATGCTTGTCTCAAAGCCCTGTGGAATCATCCACTACTATTTGCTTACGAACCCCTTGAAAATGTAAAAAAACAATAATCCCTATATTGCCCTTATGAGACTTTTTTTGGGGGGTTCTTAAGCAAGTAGTAGTCCATGAGCTGAGCAGTGTATCGAACCGTTTTTGCGCGGGAGTCCAGGATCCTTGTGTTTGATGCCCCAAGCTGCCAAGGCGCAGTGTTTTCCAGGGTCTTGTACAGAGAGCCCTGCTTCAAGAATCACTGGCTGGCTCTTAGTAGGAATGAGGGAATGAGGGAGTGAGGTACCCTATATAATCCTTTAAAGGGCATCTTTAGGGATTCTATAGGGCCCTAGTTTCCCTTATTCCCTACCAGCGGCTGGGTTCTGCAGAGCGGTGCAGTTCGTGACGCCATGCTCTTTGTTTGGCGGTGATGGAAAGGCACGGTGAGCTGCTTGCTTACGGGTTCAGGGTTTAGGGTTTAGGGCCGGCGAAACGGGATTCTTCAATATAGTTGTTCTACAACGGTCATTATACCACTGCATGATGTATAAACATAGGCAGCTTTGCTTCAATCATGCTTACTCTCTCATTTGAAGAACCCCACCTCCTCCAGCGCTCCGCGGCCTTTCAGCATTTTTTGGGCTCCTGTGTTTGTTTCTTCCAACGTGTGGCTGTAGGCCTGGCTCGAGGCCGGCGCCTTTGTGAACACAGAGAGAACTTCAGGGCGCGGGTGGGCATCCGGTTTGGCATTGGGTTTGAAAAGGGCCCTCGAAGCTTGGCTTCGGATCTGGCTCTCGAAGCTTTGAAGAGGGCGTCTGACTCCAGGTTGTGTCTTCCAGTGTTCGGGCCCCCGTGGTGAAAGCCGCAGGGGCCGGGACCCTCCACGAACATTGGCCTGACTTAAGGCACAGCCCATCAAGAAGCCCCAAACTCCCCAACCCCCCGAACCCGAAACTACCCCTAAACTCCTCCCTGAACCCTCTAAACCCCTAAGCCCAAAGCCCAAAACCCCTAAACCCTAAATGCCGCGTGGCATTGTGCTCAGAGAGTTTTGGGCCTTGGGCGGCCCTCCACGAAGTCGGCGCGGCTTCCGGAAGCGCGGGCCTTCGCCAGTTTTGTATTTCTCTAAATCAATACTTGCTTATTTACTTGCTATGTTGACTGAATTCATTCTTTTGAGTTGAAGGTTTCCTTGCTCAAGGGTTTAGGGTTCAGGGCGCAGAGGGTTCTTAAGGTTTTGGTGTTACGACTCTTATAAGCTGAGCCCTTGAAGTTTAGGCCTGCTTGGAGGTTCATGGTACTTATTAACCAATTATAACTGTACTTATAACCCACTTATAAGCCCCTTAAGTGCCCCAATATGGTCAAAGGTACAGTTATAGGTACAGTTATAATTGGTTAAGAAGTACCATGAACCTCCAAGTGGGAGTGGGGGAAGAAGACTCTCTGTGCAACTTCCCAAAGCAAAGGCCATAACTCACTTGGAGCCGATGACAGTTCAAATTGATCTATTGGTACCCCAGACTGCCTGAGCTTCTGAACAAGCAATTTATTATCCCTAAGCCCTAAGCCTAAGCCCTAAGCCTAAGCCCTAAACCCTAAGCCCTAAACCCTGAACCCTAAACCCTAAGCCCTAAACCCCAATTCCTCTAAACTCTCAGCCCCCATGCCCACCCGGGCCAAGGAGCGCCCTCCGCTGCCAGCATGGCGGGTGTGGCGGGCGTGCAGCAGCCGCAGATGAAGCCCGAGGGCAAAGGCCATGGGGGCAAGTCGATCCTGTGAGCTTCAAGGGATATGGTTTAGGGGTTTAGGGTTGGGGTTTAGGGTTGTTCCCCCTAACACTAACAGTGATGAATAGGGATTATAGTGCCCCCACCCATATAAGGGGAAACATCCCAAGGGATATGCTCTTATTGGCCCTTTTGGGCACCCTGAGTTTTAGGGGCAGCCGTCTTAAAATAGTAGCCTCAAACGGGACCATAAATTAGAGAAGTGACCATCTGCTAGAATGAATGGGGACCCCAAAAAGGGGGCCTCTAGTTTCATATAGGGGTCGGAAGTAATATTCCCTTATGGCCCTTTTGTAAATGTACTATCATAATATTTTAAGGGGCTGCGCCCATGGGCGGGCAGCGCACGCAGAAGCCCGGGGCGAGCAGTTTCTAAGCATGTTGAGGCCCCTAAACTCCCTTAAAATCTCTAAGCGTTAAGTTTCTAAGCATTTTCAGGCCCCTAAACTCCCTTCAAATCTCTAAGCGTTTGAGGCTCCTAGACTCCCTTAACGTTTCTAAGCACTTTATAAGGCCCCTAAACTCCCTTTTTCCTAGCCCCGGGCTTAGACACGTCGCTTATGCCCGCCCTTTGGGGGGCATCATGCTCCTGATGCGCCCCCGGGGTCCCGCCCCGGGAGCCGCTGATGCTCCTGATGCGCGCCTGGGGGTCCCGGGCTGGACCCGCTGATGCTCATGATGCGCGCCCTCTGGGGGCCTCCGTGGCGACGCAAAAAACCACGAAAAAAAAACCGTTCACCGGCGGCACGCGGGGGTCGGCGGCACTGGCGTCCGGCCTAATTCTGCTTCGCAGAAGGCCAGAGGCCAGCAAGGCTATTCCCGGGACGACCCGGGCTAAAAGGTCCGCATTTGCTCGGTCCTTTGGGGACCTCGCGCTGCCCGATTTAATGGCTACCGCCAGTGCCGCCGACCCCAGACCCAAGACAGTCGCATTGGGGCGGAAGGCAGGGTGGAGCGCGGGCAGGCGGGGGGGGCGGGGGCGGGGGGGGTGGGGGTGGGTGGGGGTGGAAAGGGGTGGGGGGTGTGGGGGGTGACCGTAGAGGGTTGGTGTCGGATTAGGGAGTTGGGGGGGGAAGGCAGGGGTGGACTGGGGGGCATAGAGATGAAGAAGCGATGAGAGCGGTGAGAGCGGGGGGGCGGTGGATGGTGCACGATGGTGGGAGGGGGTAATGATGAGGGCTGGGGAGGGTTGGTGGGAGGGTTAGGGAGTGGGAGTGGGAGAGGGTGGGGGCGGCTGGCGGAAAGGGGGGCCTGACTCATTTGACCAGCTCTGGTGAGAGGGTTGGGGCGGAAGGCAGGGTGGAGCGCGGCGGGTGGACAGGGGAGGTGACGGTCGAGGGTTGGTGGAGTTGGGGGCGGAAGGCAGGGGAGTGATGAGGAGCCCTCAAACAGATTTGTCAGGGGCGGGAGAGGGGGGGATGGGGGGGTGGGGGGGTGGGGGGGGGGGGGGTGAGGGGGCCTAGGGGGGTGGGGGGGGGGGGGGGGGGGGGGGGGGGGGGTGGGGGGGGTGGGGGGGGTGGGGGTGGTCGGGCATGCACTGGGCCCTTTAAACCACCTGAATGGATGGGGTGGGGGGGGTCAAAGGTCCAATTCAAGGCGTCATGGGTTGGGTGAGGGCGATGGGTGGCGGGGTTTGGGCATGCACTGAAGCCAAACAATGCAAAAACACTCCAATTCAAGGTGTCATGAGCAGCATGCTGTGAGAGCGGGTGAGGGCGGTGAGGGCGGTGGGGGGTCTTCACTGACGCCGCCCTGCTACCGCTGGGGTCGGCGGATTAATGCTTCTACAGTAGCAGGGTGTATTTGACCTCTGCCCTTCGTAGTAAACATCCTTTGCCTTCCTTCGGACGTGACAAGCGAAGGAGTCCGGCGAGATGCCGCTGTAGTTGCTTTGGGGGGGAAGCGGCATGGTAGGGTTTAGGGTTTAGGGTTTAGGGTTTAGGGTTTAGGGTTTCGGGGTTTCGGGGTTCGGGGTTCGGGGTTCCCTAATCTTGAACCCCAATGTTACCCTGGACAGAGCAGCTGCTGCGCTGTCCCTCGAGAACACGCGGCTCATAGTGCATAGGTCTGACAAGATGTGGGGGTTTACGAAAATAGGAACCCCTAAAACAGACCCCCCAAATAGTAGGATCCCCTTATAATGGGGACCCCCAGTAAGGTCCGTGTCGTAAACCCAGGCTTAGAAGCCCTGAGGAGAATGGCCGAAACCACCCCAACCAGATCTCAGACCCGGTCACAACCTAAATTTTGAACCAGTCCCGAAATGGCCCAAACACCGACGATCCTCGTTCGTGCAGCCCCTACACGTGTTCGACCCGTGGGGGCCCAAACACCTCCCATCCTCAGGTGCACACTAAGCCCCTAAGCCTCTAAGCCCCTAAGCCCCAAAACCCTAAACCCTAAGCCCCAATCCCCAAACCCTAAACCCTAAACCCTAAACCCTAAACCTTAAACCCTAAACCCTATGTGCCCTAAGTCCCCCCAAAAAAGCCCCCAAAACCCTACGGACTCCGAGTCCGAACACCCCTCTGTGGCCTCAGAGGCTGGGGAGGCGGCAGCTCCTGGGGCAGTAGCTGGGGCAAAGGCTGGGGCCACGCGGCGGAAGGTTTAGAGTTTAGGGTTTAGGGTTTAGGGTTTAGGGTTTAGGGTTTAGGGTTTAGGGTTTAGGGTTTAGGGTGAAGTGGTGTGGGTCTGGGGTTTTTGGCTTTAGGGTAGAGGGTTTAGGGCTAGGACCGGGTCTCATTTCGATCGGAATTTGCCTGAGTTCAGCTATTAAGGGAAGGGTGTTGGAAGCCTCATTGAAGAGAGCGCGACTGCAGGTCTAGCTGAGCCATGGCATTTCACCTACAAGTGCCCAACCGACACCAGGGCCCCACGTTCTGGACTCCCCAAAGAAATCACAGCACTTTCATAAACCCTAAACCCTAAACCCTAAACGAAGCCCTCAGCCCCCAATCCCAGCCCCCTTGCATGTGCCTTGCACCGAGGCGGAAAGGGCTGGGGCAGCCCCAAAGGTCCTCTCAGATGCATTGTATTGGGCTTCAGGGTCTAGGGTAGTCCATATAGCATTAGGTCGCATGGTCGAGTGTTCGTTGCCTTGTCGCATACCTTTGTAGTTGCAGCTACTTGGTTTCCTACTGTCCCCTGTTGTTTGGTGGCATGGCTCGTCCAGCGCAGTGGTTGCGGAGGCCGCGGAAGCCCAGTCGACCATAATAAGTGATCAGCATGTCTTGCTCCTTTACAAGGGCGGCAATGTTCGTTGCATGGTCCCACCATTGATTTTCGTCCAGACCTCTATCAGACTCTACAAGCATCAGGATATAGCGTCGTGTACACAAGCGGGGAGTTCTGGTCAGTTGCTGTCGAGCATTTTGATCTGCGCTCAGGAGGATTCTTTGGTGGCCTCAAGGGTAGCATGAAAGGCAGCTGGGGCAAAGACAAGGCCGGCCAAGGGAGACCCAAGCTGGACATGAAGTTTGAACAGTTTGTTGTCAGGGCCCTTCTGCACAAGTCATCCCAAACTAACATCATTTCACCGCACCCCGAAAGGCATTGTAATCTTCGAGCTCAACATGCCATGCGCCCACCCAGGGAAAAAGCAAGATGAAGTGGCCAAGTGGCCCGAACCTCTCCAGAGCTCGGATATCTACCGAGCCGGTGACGGGCGAGGTGGTCGAGTGGAAGGGTGGCGTGGATCCGCATTTTAGGTTTCGGGGCAGTTTAGGGGAATTTAGGTTTCGGGGCAGTTTAGGGGAATTTAGGTTTCGGGGGGCAGCTTACGGGGTTTTGGCTCTCGCCATAGATCAGGGGAAAGACTGAAGACCCAATGCCGGATGCCGACGGCAGAGTCCAACGTTTGGGGGGAGCCCTTGGGCCCCTCGGAACCCCTCGGAACCCCTCGGAACCCCTCGGAACCCCTCGGAACCCCTCGGAACCCCTCGGAACCCCTCGGAACCCTCTAACCCTAAACCCTAAACCCTAAACCCTAAACCCTAAACCCTAAACCCTAACCTCTGAGTCCCACAGTATGCCAGCAGAAGCTAGGACCCGGAGTCGGCCCTTCTTCCCTTTTGCTCGGGTTTAGGTTCCCTTACAAAAGCCCCTTTAAACCCAAAAGGGCCCCCTTCTATACTCCCAGGTGACTCCTGGGTCTAGGAAGAGCCACCCCGCCTCAAAGGAAAGTATGGCTGGATACAGCCCACGGTGCCGGTGGAGCATCCCATGTCCGACAAGCATCAGGCTCCCTCGGGTTTAGGGTTTAGGGTTTAGGGCTTAGGGCTTAGGGTTTAGGGTTTAGGGTTTCGGGCGGATTTGGGGGCGCTCAGGCTTCCGGGATGATGGAGAGCGGGTGCACGAGCAATCCGTGGTCGAATCTGTTAGGCAGACTCTCAACCTAAGCTTGAGAGAGCATGCCATGCGGAAGATTGCCAGCTCCCAGAGTTTCAAGCGCGAAAGAAGCGAAGTGCCCTTCCTGACAGGGGCGAATCTATGCAGCCTGGCTGTCTTGGTGAAGTTTGCATTGCGCTTTGAAACGGCTTGACAGCAGCTGAGCACACCTTTGCTTCAGATGAGTACCACCTGAACCCTAAACCCTAAACCCTACACCCTATATACCCTATATACCCTATATACCCTATAGGCCCTCTAGACCCTATATACCCTATATACCCTATATACCCTATGTACCCTATATACCCTAGATACCCTAGATACCCTAGATATGCTAGATACCCTCTACCCTGAACCAAAGCTGCTGGTCTGAACCTGCAGCGAAACCCCGAAGCATCCCGAAACCCTCACAACTCGAAGCCTGAGAAGCCGAGGTCAGTATGAGTGACCTGCAGGGGGGGCTCGAGGCCCCTCTGTGAACCAAACCCTAAACCCTGAGATCCCTGAGATCCCTGAGATCCCTGAGAACCTGAGAACCCTGAGAACCTTGAGAACCTGACAACCCTAGAACCCTGAGAACTTTTAAACCCAAAAAATCCTCAACTTTCCACCCGCTTGAAGAATCCCATGACCAGACCATCCCTGGGCATCCATTTCTAGCCTGAGTTGGTTGTATTACTAGCAAGCTCATTGCCGAGACTCCTCAACTGGACCAGGAGGGAACACTAAGGCCGAAGCCCCAACATTCTGAATCCAACAAAGCAGGTTCAGGGATTGCTGTAGGCGGTTCATTGGGCAGGCCCCTGGGACATCTTCATATTTTCCTTGTTTGGTTTAAGAGAACCGTAATATCTAGCAATGTTTGCAAAGCGCTTTCAGCGCCAACCTAGTTTTGGACCTCAGATTTTTCAGGAGCCTTGGGCTTGAGAGGCACGTAGGGATCAGGTATGCTCGTAGCCCATACTCTTCCGAGTGCAAGCTGAGACTGGATCGTTCTGTCCTCTGTCTCGCGCCCCGCCCGTCTCGGTGGGTAAGTATGTAGTTCTGCATGCACACATGGGTGTAGCAAGCTTCGAGTTCGGTGGAGGTTACCACCTGAAGCCCCACATCTCCTGAAGCCCTGAACTCCCCGATTTCTAGAAGCCTCGCAACCAAGCCTTGGACACCCTAAACCCTAAACCCTAAACCCCAAACCCCAAACCCTAAACCCTAAACCCTAAACCCTAAACCCTAGACCCTAGACCCTAAACCCTAAACCCTAAACCCTAAACCGTTTTGTTGTAGTGGCAGCTGCCGAGCCATCCTGCAGGCCCTGACGGTAGGCAGCCTATGCCAGTTCCACCTCTTCCAGGATGGGAGCTGGCGTGGGTTAGGGGTTTAGGGGTTTAGGGGCTTAGGGGTTTAGGGTTTAGGGTTTAGGGTTTAGGTTGCTGTGTTTTCTTGGGGAGGGGGGAGGGGGGGCGCGAATTCCCCCACAGAGAATCGGAGTGCAATGGTGCATGGGGCGGAAGGGGATGCCCTAACCCCCAAAAGAATTCAGAGCTCCAAGCCCTAGATAAAGTTAGCCCTGTACCCCATGCAAGCCAAACGGGGCAGGCAGACCTACAGGCTGGCCACGCATGTGCGTTTACACTCATTCACACCAAAGCGCTAGCAGCACATGTGCTCAAGTTCGCACTAAGCAGTCGCCTATTCACACGGGGGCGGTCAAAATTATGATCCCTTTTGGGGTACCCCCCAATATTAGGCGCCAGGGGCTGAGAGCAAGCAAGCCCCACACTGACACCGTGTGCCCGTGTGCACACTCACGACGATTCCTTTAAAAGGTCTCAGTTCCCGAGTTAAACGGTTTGAGTTCCCGAGCTTTAAGAGACCGATGCGATAGTTTTGTCCACCGTAAATTCCTGGATTCGGAGCGAGCTTCTCGAAGATCAGGGGGATCAGCCCTCGGAGAACATGGTCATGTGTCGTCATGGGCTTCATCACATCCGTTTGGTCCGAAAGTTTTTTTGTCACCCTGAATCCCAAGCCCCAAAGTCTAAACCTTAGAAAAGGCCCCAGCAAGTCCCTCAACCCTAAAGCCTCAACCCGAAACCCTAAACCCTAAACCCTAAACCCCAAACCCCAAACCCTAAACCCTAAACCCCAAACCCTAAACCCTAAACCCTAAACCCTAAACCCTAAAGCCTAAACCCTAAACCCCAAAGTGGAACCCCTTTGCTAAACCTTTGCCCACCCAAATCCAGGATGCAAGCGGGCTCGGAGCTGAGGAGGTCATCGGCTCATAGGAGCCCCTCCGCTGCGGGTTTAGGGTTTAGGGTTTAGGGTTTAGGGTTTAGGGTTTAGGGTCTAGGGTCTAGGGTTTAGGGTTTAGGGTTTAGGGTTTAGGGTTTAGGGTCTAGGGTTTAGGGTTTAGGGTTTAGGGTTTAGGGTTTAGGGTTTAGGTTTCAGGGTTTCAGGGTTTCAGAGTTTTAAGGGTTTTAGGGTTTAAGGGGGTTTTAGGGTTTAGGGTTTCCGGATTTCAGGGTTTCAGGGTTTAGGGTTTTAGGGTTTTCAGAGTTGAGGGTTTTTAGGGTTTAGGGCTTCAGGATTTCAAGATTTCAGTTTTTTTTTAAAGGTTTTAGGGTTTAGGGTTTCAGGATTTCAGGATATCAGGATATCAGGGTTTCAGGGCTTTCGAGTTTAAGGGTTTTCAGGGGTCAAGTTTTGGGGTTTAGGGTTTTAGGATTTCAGGGTTTTAGAGTTTAGGGTTTAGGGTTTAGGGTTTAGGGTTTAGGATTTCAGGGTTTTAGAGTTTAGGAGTTTTCAGGGTTTAGCGTTTTGGTTTAAACTCAGGGTTTAGGGCTTTAGGGTTCAAGGGTTTAGGGTTCCGGGCTTAGGGTTTCAGGGTTTCAGGGTTTCAGAGTTTCAGAGTTTGAGCGTTTAGGCGTTTCAGGGTTTAGGGCACCAGGGTTCAAGGGTTCAGGGTTTAAGGACTTAAACATTCAGAGTTTAAGGGTTTAAGGTTTATAGGTGTCAGGGGTTTAGCGTTCAGGGTTTTAGGGTTTTAGGGTTTTGGGGTTTTGGGGGTTTAGGGTTTTAGGGTTTCAGGGTTTAGGGTTTTAGGGTTTCAGGGTTTAGGGTTAGGGCTTCAGGGTTTAAGGGTTTAAGGGTTTAGGGTTTCAGAGTTTAGAGCCTCAGAGTTTTGGAAACACAGACAGACACAGACAGACACAGACAGACACAGACAGACACAGACAGACACGGACAGACACTCAAAGGACAGGGTTGTGCGCGGAGCCCTCTAGGTAGCCTTGTCATAGAACCCCCCCTGTGAAGCGGATCGCCCTCCAAAGAGAAATCCAAGAGCAACAACCTACCGTAGTTCGAAGCTACAATCCCGCATCATCCTTCGGGCTGGTTGTTGTGGATTGCTTAAAAACCCTGCACCGGGATCCCTCCCCCCCCCCCCCCCCCCCCCCCCACCCCTGTTAAACCCTAACCCTAAACCCTAAACCCTAAAATCCTAAACCCCAAAACCCCAAACACTAAAACCCTAAACCCTAAAAAAACCCCCCCCCCCCCCCCCAAGTTGAAGCTTCAGGAAGAAGCCGTCAAACCGACGCCCCACCAGCGAGATCTCCGAGCGCCTGGCGCGAAGGCGAAGTGGGGGGGGTCATTTGGGATGCTCCCCCTTATACGAACAGTCCTTGCTAGGGTTTCTACCCCCTATGATTAGAATCCCTACCAAGGACTGGTAGTATAAGGGGGAACATCCCAGGGAGTCATGTTGTTTGGGTTGTAGGGTTCAGGGTTTACTCAATCACATGCGAGCCCGCCCCAAAGTTCCCACCCCATCCCACAGATCGGAGGTCAGACTCGTGTCTAGACATTGAGCGGCCTTTGTTGGCCACTCTCCCCTGCGGGCATGGAAACAAAGGCAGCAACACGGTTCGGGCAAGGATACCATCACCCTCATGCTCCCATTGTGTTTTTAGTTTTAATGGGGTGGCGGTTTAGGAATGGGGGGAGGGGATTATGGGTTTACTTGGTCCTCATTTACATACATACAGTAGGAAGCATACGTGACGGAGCATACGTGACGGGAATAATGATCATATTGGTGATGTTTGCGAGATGAAGCCCCAAACCCTAGATCTCCCAAACCCTACACCCCCAAACCCGAATGAAGGCCTGCACACGGCAAAACCCAATCCCCACAAGCCCCACAGAATCCTCCTCCTCTTCCTCCTCCTTCTTCAACCTCGGGCTTCGAAACCAGCTCCAGACCAGATCATAGGGGCCCGTATTCCCTTTATCGGGAAAAGGTTTCCTGGACACGCCCCTCTAAACCAAACAGGGCACCCTTTTGATTCCTAGGTGAGGTTGTTCCTTCAGTTGGAGCCTCGAAGGGAAGTTACATGGTCCCCCTTGAATGTTACAGGATTTGTATATATATATATATACAATACGGGGTATAATTAAGGGTTCCCCAAGTACAGTCCCATATTAAGAGACCATGTAATTGCACTAAGAGGGTCTGGGGGGGTCTTCTTCTGAATTATGGGCGCTTGGCTTGTGTGCGGGGTATGCAAGGGGTAGATAGGATAAGGGCTCCAGAAAATCCACGTGGACGCCAGGCTCCAGACCAGAAAATGTACCGCCAAGGCCAACCTGTGCTTCGCCAGGCAGTGCCGCACACAAGAAAAGGCAAAACCCGAGCATGCTCGCTACTGCCCATGGGGTCATGGCTGCGGGGGCTTACTTTATACCCTGAACCCTAAACCCCAAACCCCAAAAACCCTAAACGCTTAGGGCCGAGGGTTCAAGGAGGTTGAACAGCATTGAGCACTTGGGCCCTCTGTACTCTGGGAGAACCGGCATTGGCGTGTAGCGTCGAGGGCTTAGGCTTTGTTTACACCCCCAGGCCTCAAGCCCTAAACCTCCACTTGAAGTGGATTGGGGTTTAGGGTTTAGGGTTTAGGGAAAGCCCTTAGGGTGTAGGGCCCTGAAGCCCAAACCGAGTTAGCACTGCTGCCTTGAAGCGCTAAGCTGCAAGTTCAAAGTTCCTCCGGGGCGCACCGGCTCAGTGTTCTTTCTCGAAGGGCCTCAACCCTGAACCCTACACCCTAAACCCTAAACCCTAAACCCTACACCCTAAACCCTAAACCCTAAACCCTAAATCCTAAACCCTAAACCCTAAACCCTTAGGGTTCAGGGCTTAGGGTGCCTTGCACCTTGTACTGCCCATCCCATGGAAGACCAGCTCCCCTTTCGTCCCGAAGTTGCCGCCGCCTTCGTTGAGGATCGAAGGACTGCGTTGGCACTGGCTAGAGCCTTGAAACCTCGAGCCATGAATCCCGAAGTTCGAAGCCCCTGGCCCCCAAGCCCCAAGACCCTTAGACCTGGTTTTAAAGCTACAAACCCTAAACCCTAAACCCTAAACCCTATACCCTATACCCCAAACCCTAAACCCTAAACCCTATACCCTATACCCTAAAGCCCTAAAAGACCGACACACCAAAAGACTCGGGCCGCTTTCGTGCGAAGTCTCTGCTGCCATCGCCTGGCGATGCAGCCGCCATGGTTTCGAAGGTGGAGCGTGTATCCTGGGATAATATCGGGGCCTGAATAGCTAGAATAGGGTTTTGCGGGTTTGTTGGAGTATCATTATAAAGGGACCCTAAGGGAATACTATTAGTAATTAATTGCGACCCCCTATAGTGTCACACGCTCAAGGGCTCGCGATTCTTGGGAGCTGGAACGTAGTTACAGGTTGCAGGGTCTAGTATCGTTCATGCCATCGATTTCGTTTTCTTTGGCCGTCGTAGCTACAGGCCATCATCACAATGCCGGCTTAAAGTTTGGGCACGGCTTGCAGCTTCTTGTCAGATCAAGTTGTGGCATTGCAGGAGCCTTAAAATTAACAATGATATCCACTTATGGGCCAATTTTGCCCATAAGTGCATCATATTGCTAATTTTAAGGCTCCTGTCATGTCCCGAAGCCAAAATGTGATCCACTTATGGGGCTTAGCGGGGCTGGGACACTACCCCATTGTCGAAATCAGGCCCCTGTTGCCCCTGGACTCAGATGGAAAACGCGACTATGTTTGTGGGGACCCCTAAGATGGGTTGTGCATCAGCATTAGGAAACCGGAAGACGTACAACATCGAATCATCTGGTGCAGGGATTAAACGACCACTCACCCTTGTCTGGACACATGTCGTAGTAGTAGATCGACAGAGTCTCTCAGGTGTTTCAGCTTAGCTGGCTCTCAGAGCAATGGAGGTGCGATCCGCAGCATCAGGTGCGACGCTGGCTCTGCTTGATGCAGCTGAAGTTGAGGGCAAGTCGGCGAGGGAAGTGAAGAACGCTCTAGCCGGCCAACTTGGTGTCACAAGATTCAGGCAAAAGCTGTTGTCAGATGATGGAAGGTTGATTAAAGATGCTGAGGTTTTCAGTGGGACCGCAAAGATCCAGCTTGTCAAGTTGGACTTTTGTCCACCTGATGAAGAAGGACACCGAAAGATGTTCAACGCATCAGCCTCAGGTGATGTAACCGCACTGGGAGAATTACTTGAGAGTCCTCGCAATCCCGATGTGACAGATCACGACGGGTGGACGTCGTTGCACTATGCCGCCCTGAATGGGTGTGTCGGGCCGACGAGGCTGTTGCTCGAGGCAGGAGCAGAGAAAGATGCCGTTTCAGATCGCGGGGAAACCCCCTTGCATCTTGCAGCCCCTTGGTAGCCCAGTGTGGCACCCTTTTGCTCCCTTTTTTTTGTTTTTGGTTCGAGGTTCCTTATAATAAGTAGCAAAGCCCCTTGTTATTGCTATGGTTCCTGGGCCACCAAGGCTCAAGAGGGCTACTTTTCCGTTGTCCAACTGTTGGTGGAGGCGGGCGCCGACAAAGATCGGCCCAGGACGCGGGATGGCTCAACTGCGCTGCATCTTGCAGCAGAAACTGGGCAGCTGAGTGGTGCCCTTTCGCCTTTTTTATTATTATTTTTTTTTTTGGGGGGGGGGGGCTATGGGTTTAAGCAAAGGTTCCCTGTTTCTAAAATGGTTGCTTGGCTACCAAGGAAGGTGGCAATTTGGGTATGGTCTACTTGCTGGCAAGATCTGGTGCAGACTGTAACGCAACCCTTCCCGACGGTGGGTCAACTGCTCAGGATGTGGCGTCTGAGGAAGGTCACGTGAAAGTTGTCGAATTCTTGGCCAGGTTCCAGGGACACCCGCCAAAGAAGATCCGAAGAGGGTCAAGTCCGTGAAGCAACAGCGCTACCTCCAACTTGGACGTTGCTGACTAAAACGCGTTCACATGCGGCATGTCCATTAAAGCGTATGGGTATTCCTTCAAACGGGGAAACCCCAAACGTGGATGGTTTAGTGCTAAACTTGAGATGCTTTCGGGTTCCCCCCCCCCTCCCCCACATGAGTCGGCAATCGTTAATATCCGTGTCCTACACCCCCCCCCCCTCATGTGGCAATCGTTAATATTCGTGTCCTACACGATTGCCTATAGAAGCTCCGCCAGTGGCCCAGCGCTAATTTATGGGCCCCAGGCCCTATGGCAACCCACAAGCCTACCAACAGCCCTACCCACAGCCCTACCCACAGGCCTACCGACAAGCCTGCCCGGTAGTTTGCGGGCAGGCCTATGACCCTGAGACACCACCGCTTTTGGGGGGGCATGGGCCCGGTTGAGCTGCAGCTGCAATGCCATGTGTGTTGAGGTTCAGGGCTTCGCAACGTGCATAGTTAACCCTAAACCCTAAACCCAAAACCCTAAACCCCAAACCCTAAACCCTAAACCCTCAACCCTCAGCCCTTCCTCAGAGCATGCTGGGCAGGATCCGGCGCCCGGCTACAAGAGGCTGCGCACGGCGCATGGCGCGTGGCGGAGTTTAAATTTGTTGGACCCTAGACGGTTTTGTTTGGGGCTCAGGGTTTAGGGATGCTGCGCAAGCAAAAAGCACATGCAAGTCGCAGATACAGAGTTCAGGATTCTTGCTAGCTACAGGATGCTTCGCTTCGCCTTTGCGGTGGCAAGTGTGGCCTAAATCTGCCGAGCTTAGCTGCTAACGCAATTCATGTCAGTCGAGGGACGCAATGTACGAAAACTTGGTGCAGTACCGCGAGGACTTCGGTGGCGATATTGTGCCCTGAGCCCGAACCCTCACCCTCAACCCTAAGCCTTAAAGCCAAAACCCCAAACCCTAAACCCTAGCCCTAAACCCTCCATATACCCCAAACCCTAAACCTTAAACCCTAAACCCCCAAAAGCCCTAAACTCTCAACACCCTAAGCCCCCTAAACCCACAAGAGAGACAAGCTGAGGGCACCCAGCTCTTGGCCGAAGCCTGCCCCTCGCGAGCTGCGGCCGCCTTCAAGTGCCTCTCCTGAGAGACGTATGGTTTAAGGTTTAGGGTTTGGGGTTTAGGGCTTAGGGTTTAGGGTTTGGGGTTGGGGTCTGGGGTTTACGGTTTAGGGTTTTAGGGTTTGGTGTTTGGGGCTTTTAGGGTTTAGGGTTTTTGGGTGTTTAGGGTGTTTGGGGTTTTAGGGTTTCTAGGTTTTAATGTTTAAGGTTTTTAGGCTTTTAGGGTTTTGCGGTTTTAGGGTTTTTAGCGTTTGTAGGGTTTAGGGGTTTAACGTTTGGATCTTAGGGTTGAGGGTTGAGGGTTGAGGGTTTAGGGGTTTGAGGTTTCAAGGGTTTAGGGAACTTCTTAAGCGGCAGAAGAGTGGAAGCATCCAAGTTGGCCTTGGGAGGGGTCGTGACGTGGGGTTTGGGCTCCAGGGTTGGCATGGGGCTGAGGGGGTTGCGGTTTAGGGTATAGGGTGCAGGCTGTAGGGTGTAGGGTTTAGGGTTTAGGGTTTATGGTTTAGGGTTCGGGCTTGAAAGTTTAAGCTTTCGTTGGTTAGCTTGTGGACGTGTTTTTTCGCAAAAAAGATATCGAGCATCCGAAAACAGCTGAGCCATCCATCTTCGCAATCGATCGAATATTAAAAATCGAAAGTTTTCGATATTTCGCGTCCGCGAGGCCCAAATTCGACATTTTGTTTTTTCGAAGTTTCGCGTTCGCGCCCCAAAGAGAAGGCATACATTCTGGCAACGGGTTTGGTTGACGCATCCTCTTCGGCCATGTGGTGAAGCAGAATGTAGGCAAACCCTAAACCCTAAACCCGAAACAGTAAATACCCTAAACCCCAAATACCCTAAACCTTAAACCCTAAAACCCAAACCTGAACCCTAAACCCGTAAACCCTAAATACTCGTACCCTAAACCCTAAACCCTAAACCCCAAACCCCAAACCCTAAACCCTAAACCCTAAACCCTAAACCCTAAACCCTAAACCCTAAATACCCTGAACCCTGGTTGCCAGGTGCTCCACCGCCACCTTCGTCACTGCCGCCCGCTCCCAAGGCCGAGTTGATTTTGTACAGGCCCCAAAGGGACCCCATACCCCGTAATTCAGGTCGGGTTTAGGGTTTAGGGTTTAGGGTTTAGGGTTTAGGGTTTAGAGTTTAGGGTGTAGGGTTTAGGGTTTAGGGCATAGGGCTTAGGGCTTAGGGCTTAGGGTTTAGGCGGATTGGGGTTTCTGATGAAGGATATTTAGGAGCATTTTCGGAGACTTTATAAAGGGCCAACCTCGTCTACGAAAAGCCAGTCCAGGTCATCAACTCAGGATGGGTCGGACCGTGCGCATGGAATGGACAAAAGTCATGGCAGTTTTTATAATACTAGTATAAAAACCTCAGCAATACAAGCGGTGTAGGGCGCCCATCAACGATGCGCACTAGTCACTTCCTCTTGCAAGCCTTGAAGAAGAGAGAAGCCCAAAGTGGACTCGCTTTGACTACAAGTGGTAAGAATTGCTCATAGTATCCCTTCATGGTCCCTATATAGTTATACTAGAATAAACTCCGGCAAAACCCTGTTTGAGTTATGAAGGCCCCCTAGGGTGTATGATCCTTCGGGTTATTTTGTTCTCCCAAGGTTGTGGCAAGGCGATCTTGGAACATTTTCCCGAAGCCCTAAACCTGTTCTTAGGGTAGTTACAAGGTCCTTAAGATGGGCTCTTAAAGGGGACCCCTTATGTGCCCCTAATGTGCCCTACGCAACCTTTTGGGCCCATACGTCAGAACCCTTTAAAGAGGGTAAGGGGCCATATTAAGGGCCCATGAAACAACCCTTAGACCTGTCCCTCCAAAGCGAATTGGCAGGTTTGGCCTGTGCCACCACGCCCGGGAAGGCCGTGAAGCTCGTTCAGGGAGTTTTTTCTCAGGTAGAAGCTTCCTGATGCATGAGTTACAACCCCAACACAGACATCCCGAATACTAGGGAAGGGAAATTTGCACCCTGACCTGCACGCTTAGCAACGCCTTCATCTAGGAGCGCGGATTCTTCATGGGTACTCTGGTGGGTGCTCCGGTTGTGGCGCAACGGGCATATTTCCAAAAAAGCAGATGTACCCCTCACACTCTACCAAAATATGATAGCCCTTATTCTACAGCCCTTCAGAAGCACAGAATCACCCGAACCAAACCCTAAACCCAAAACCCTAAGCCCAAGCCCTAAACCCTACACCCTAAACCCCCCCCCCCCCCCCCCCCCCCAGAGGAGACTCACCCCCAAGGACCCTGAGCCCTAAGCCCTAAGAAACCCTAAACCCTAAACCCTAAACCCTTAACCCTTAACCCTTAACCCTTAACCCTAAACCCTTAACCCTAAACCCAGGGCGGCGACTCCGGGGCTGAAGATTCAGCCCACCACCGCCCCGAACCTCGCGCAGGAGACTCTTAGGTATAATCTCATAGAACATAATGGCATATCAAGACAACACAGTGTGTATATATATATATAGATAAAAATATTCTAACACAAAAACATATGTGTAAATAATAAATGATACATATATAAATACATATATATATATATTTCTGTTTATATTTATATTTATATTAAATTGATATAGGTTAATACAACACAATATTCTAATGCAAGATAATGTAATCGTATGTTGCAATATAAGGTAAAGCCCAATTTAATAACAACTTCGTGAGCAAAGCGCGCGTAAACTTGCCTTTGTTCACGCCATTCATATTACATGCACAGGGCTTTTACACCGTTAACCTGGCATGCGATTCCAAGGGTGTGAACGGCCAGACCAAGAAAAAACCCGAATGTAATAAAAAAAATTCATGCGCAAAGGACGCTTATACATTTTTGCATTAAATGTACTGGCTTTGAGGAGGGGTTTTATATATGGTGTACTCGTTTACCCTATTATATTGCGAGCGTACATTAAATAAGCTCGGGCATTTAAAGCCCGCATTATAATAGTGTGGAAAAGCTATAAACTTGGAGATGATGACAGAAGACTCATGCATCTAGTTCTAGCAGTATGTATGTCTGTCTGTCTGTCTGTCTGTCTGTATGTATGTATGTATGTATGTGTGTATGTATGTATGTATAAAAAGGAGGGACTGGCGAACCGCGAACCGCAATCATACATGTACATATATGTGCACAGTTGCGGCTTGGTAGGTTTGGGGTTTAAGTGTCTGGTTCAACCATCTTGATGATTTAGGTTCTAGGTTTTAAGGTTTATTGATGGGTAAAACCTGAGGAGTCAGAGGAAGTCTGCCGGAAGAACCTAGAGAAAGTTAGCTTCTCAAAACGGTAGTTGCTCAGGCAGCCGCCTTAGGTTGACTGAACAAGGTGAGGCAAGTGCATGCGTGGTACCTCTACGTCGAAGAGGCCCTAAAAGGCCCTCAAAAATTCAATGCTCACAGGGTTTAGGGTTTAGGGTTTAGGGTTAGGAAAAGGTTTTCGCTGGGTCGACTCGGCTAGAGCCAGGTCCACTGCCAACTGCTATGGCGGAAGTAGCCCAAAACCCAAATCCAAAACCTTTAGGATGCAGGGTGAACCCTAAACCCTAGACCCTAAGCCCGAAGCCCTAAGCCCTAAGCCGTAAACCCTAAACCCTAAACCCTAAACCCTAAACCCTAAACCCTAAACCCTAAACCCTAAACCCTAAACCCTAAACCCTAAACCCTAAACCCTAAACCCTAAACCCTAAACCCTAAACCCTAAACCCTAAACCCTAAACCCTAAACCCTAACCCCTAAACCCTAAACCCTAAACCCTAAACCCTAAACCCTAAACCCTAAACCCTAAACCCTGAACCCTAAACCCTAAACCCTAAACCCTATTCTAAACCCTAAACCCTAGACCCTAAGCCTTAAACCCTTGTTGCCGTTCTGTCC